AGAGAGTGAGAGAGATAGACAGAGATACAAAGAGAGAGAAAACTGAAAATCCGGATTCACACTAGTGCACGATTCATTCCTCCTCCTTCTGTCTTTTCTTTCCCAGCGATGGTCCACAGTACCAAGCGTCCAGTAGCCCCTCCAGCCTTGTGAAACTCCTGCTGGCTCTGTTGGCGCTCAACATGGCGGCCGTCATTGTTCTGGCTGTGTTCCTTGGCATGGGGGCGACAGGGGACACGACTCTCACCTGCAAGATCGACGGAGCCGCCTTAGCTTCCGGCTCTCTCGGCAAGGGTTCGCCATCCATCCCTGCAGTTAAAGGACACCAAGATGGTACGATGTTGTTGGTGGTGGTGGTGGGGTTGTTGTTGTTGTTGTTGGTGCTGGTGCTGTTGTTGTTGTTGGTGTTGTTGGTGATGGTGGTAGTGTTGTTGCTGTTGTTGTTGTTGTTGTGTGTGTGTGTGTGGTGGCCTATCCGTTCGAAATGTTTGGAGCCCTAAAGAGTGTGCTCTTCACCAGGACAAGCGCCTCTCTTGAGTAGAGGGTGAGACAGTCTAACCTCCTTGAATCCTCCCCAAAGAGATGCCACCGCTGTACCTCCGTGGCGGGGTATCTCTGCAGCCAGTGTTCAAAATCTTGAGGCTCCTCGCTGCACAATGGACAGATTGGGTCCGATGTTTTGTCTATTCTATATTTGAAGGCCCACAGCCTAGAGAAGTGACCTGTCCTGTTGTTGTTGTTGGTGGTGGTGGTTTGTTTTTGTGTTTTTTTAGGGGGGGAGGGTTGTAAGGGGTTTTTGGCAAGAATTTTACGCAACTTGCAACACAAATAATATGTCATATACGAGCCAAACGTTAGAGGTGCGACTAGAGGAAAAGAAAGAGTAAAGATATGGACGATAGCAGATGTTGGACGGAAAAGAAGGAATGAACTATAACATCAGAGCACCCGCCAACCACCCACAAGAAAAACAAAAGATGAGACCATGTGGTGATTTCCAGTATCGTGTGGAGAAGTATTTTTGGTTGAGTGGCCCAGGCTTATGCACTCTGTCTATTTTTTTTATTATTTTTTAAATTTATTTATTATTTTTATTTTTTTAA